TCTGCTCCTGAACCTCCATCTTTCATTTTCCCTCTTTCCTCTCCCATACTTATCTGGAAAAGTGGAATATTTAGGTCATTGCTGCTGTACCTGAGGCATCCAATGTGAACTAACCAAAGCCACAGTTAGAGGCAGAAGTACAACAGCATAACACAGCTCTTGGCTGGCAGCCCAAGTGTCTTTCTTGGGCTGTGTGAAGAGCATGTACTGGCAACAGCAGCTGGCCTGCTTTCTATCGAAGAAGGAAAACATGCATACATTATGCATGTTACAATAATAAGAAGGGCTAAATTTACAGAATAAAATAATGAAATAATAATGAAGACTTAACCATGTATTGGGTAGGGTTACAGCCAGCAGGATAGTTGCTGACTAGTGAATCTATTCAAACTTTTCAAAATACAAGCTTTATCTCTTCCTCATTAAAGGCAACAAAGAGGCACCTGATGATTCCAGAAAGCTGTGAGTTTGAATGCAGATGGGAGAATGGGGCCTTAAGAAAACAAACACAAAAAAAGAGCCATTCTGGTAATCATAAGGATCCCCTCCATCCCTGCGAAGAGAAAGTATCTTCAGTTTTCGTTCCAATTGTTCAATCACTTTTCTTCAGAGACTATTGACAAGGAAACACGGAATATAAAAGATGCATGGTGGAAACATCTCAAGAAGTTTATTGCCTAACTTCTATTTACTTTCACTTTAGAAGTTTCATTAGGCTCTTTCAACTAAATATGTCTGTCTTTAGAAGCACAAATGCACCCATCCTTTAGTATTCTATGCAACACCTAATCTTCAGATCACTCCATGAAGTTTCATAGGCATCCATTTGTAGTTTTAAGACAGGTTTATAAAAAGAAACAGCTTCAGCATGCAAGGACTTGCTTCTCTGGCAAGGGCTTTTTAAAAGCTCTGAGGAAGATGACAACAAAATCACACAAATTTAGTGGTAACCAGACACTTAAACATATGTGTCTCAGTCTTCATATAATAAATGCACTTTTGATAGTGTGCTGAGAGAAAATGTTAGTTTCATATAGAAAAAATATTTTTTTTCAGGCCAGGAGGATGTTATACAAAAAGAATCTTAAACTTGACCCTTTCCCTCTGGCCTTGAAAAGGGGTCAGAAAGATCTCATGGAAACTCAGGACTTCTTGTCTTTGCTTTGGAGATAATTTGTGCAATAGGAATGACTACTTTGTTTCAGTAATTTGTAGAAATTGTCTAGACAATATATATATAGCAGCATAAATTATCTAGATAAAAAATAATCAATGTACCAATTAGAAGTTACAATTTAAAATTTATTTCCCAGCTATAAAGACATGTTTTTTAAGCTTTGACTTACAGCTTATTTATCTTTTTCCAAGGCAAAAAATAAATGAGTTTTTAGGCAGACTATTATGCAGATTAAAGTGTCCTGTATATTTTATTCTGTTATAGCATTTAACTGACAATAATAAACATACAGGAGAAACACATGAAACAACCACATTACACAAGTAGAAGTGTGTCACTGTCAAAATTGAGTTGCTAGAGAATGATTAAGTATCAGTAAGGTATTTCTCTTATTCTAATAGGATTTTACTATAATTAATAATTATTATTACAATTTATAATAATTAATAATTGCAGTTATACAGATATAAGTTTGAAATGGAAACAGATAATGGCTTAGCACCTCAAAGTTGCTGGAAAGAGGGAAGATGAAGTAATGTGACCCTTCCAAAAAAAGACCCAAACAATCCCTGTCCTACATATGCATAACTATAATCCACCTTTTTACTTGTTGTATCCCTGACTTTGAAAGTGAAAAAACCCAGAAGATGTTATTTGTCCTACACCAAAAATAGAAGCTACAGTTCAGCAATCATTGCCTGTTTAACTATTACATTCCCAACTGTAAGGATCCCTTGCCCATAATGGAATTTACAACGTACTTATCTATCTATGGATGTGGGAAATGGGAATTTAATTCACTTAAGAGATGCTGCCGCTTAACATATTTAAAGGTTAAATATCAAGATAGAATCTGGTGGATGAACTCTAGTGTAATGCCTTTTATGTGGAGGTTTCCTGCTGTTGTCAGAGACAAAAAAAAATCTGCTATATTAACAAGTGCCCAGAAATTCCTAGGAGAAGAAAGACTGGCAGAAAGCAAGAATCAGCCTAAAGGATGGAATATTCTCCAGAGAAGTGCAAACCAAGCACCACGACACAATATCGCTTTTACAGTACCTTTATGTTGCTAATGGCACATTCAGTAAGGCTCCTGTACATCAGCCAATCTATTAATTCAACCTTCAGTGTTAGTAAATCAAATGGCTTAACATGCAGGATTACCCTGTTTTAATTCCCTCCTAAGGAAGTGTTCAACTAGAACCAGAGCTGTCAGAGCCAGAGCTGGTATGTGACAGTGCTGGCTTCATTTGCCTCCTGCTGGAACAATGCTGTGGTGAAGTTTTCAGTTTTCCCTCTCACCTCTCAAATTCTAGACAGCATTTGCATTCCAATTTAAATGTTTTATCATCTGGCTCCAAATCAAATACAAAAGACAGAAACAGAAATGAAGTGCGAAGAGGCTTTTTCTACAGGTCTGCTCAGTATACTCAAGTTTGCTTTTTAAATTAGTTTTAAGTGATGCCAAATAGGCAACTAATATGAAGCACAATTGAAACATTCAACCTCCTAATTGCAAACAGCCCTATTAAAAAAAAAAAACCTGTTTTTTTCACTCTTACCCCCACCTCTCAGTCCTATATAAATTTAAACCAAACACATAAGAGTGCCAATCTCCATATTTTTAGTGGTGTGTTTATCAGTGAACACTTCCGAAAAATTCCCCTTTACGATTCAGGGTTCAATTTGTGGCTCATTGCATTTCATCTGGAAATACATAACTCTGTTTGGAAAAAGTACATTTTAACTTGAACATCTTATAACATGGACAAAAGTTGGTTTTGCTTCCATATATTCACTTTTGAAATTTTTCCTATGACTGGAATACTTAGTAAAATTTAAAAAGTAACGACTGTTGTCTTGTCAAGCCTCAAGTTACATAGTTTTGGCATGAATAGTGGCAGACAGTTTTATGCAACCATGCAGAGTAAAACTGAAACTAGCCTTAAAAATTATCCATGAAAAAAACAAGTTCTAAGTTTTACCAACATAGTAAAATTGAGGCTGGTTTTACATATACTTTGAGAGTGTGACAGAGGTGGTGAGTCCCCACCAGTATTTAAGCTTAAGTATTCAATTAATTTGTGGTCAAACTGGTCAATCCAGTATTTTGTTGCTATTTAAACCTCTACGCTCTTTAGTTAGGCTTTCAAGAACTCTAAAAGCAAATCAAGAGACAAAGCAGCATTTCTCCTTTATGAAAAGCTATAATGTTGACAATTCTGGGTCAATATTGTCTCAGCTACAGAAAATCTGGGTTTAGAGGATAAGACAGCACCTCTCACATGCTGAAATACATGCACTTAATAAGCAAATTTTCTTTAGTTGCATAGCAAAGGAAACATTTGATTTTCATTTAATGAAACATTTAAAAAAATACCTAATTTTGCATCAGAAGTGTCACTCATAGAAGAAAATGATATCTTCATGGATTTGGTGGAACTGACAGCCTGCACTGTACGGTCTGTGTCCTTTCCGTACTTGGAAATTTGTTACAGGTAGTTTCTTCAGTCTGTTTTAGTTCCTCCAGAACTTGCAGAAAATGAGTTGGTAGTATATGGAATACACCCCATAAAGGCACTCCTTAGTGAACACCAAAGCACTTCCTTTTTTCCTGTTCCTAACCTCGGGAGGTTAGTGGATGGATAGGCTCTTACTGAGATAAACTAAGATCTTTGTCGATTTAAAATGTAATTGTTCAAAGCAGCTGCATAATCCACCATCAAACATGTAAAGTATCATTTAAATAATCTCCATTTTGCTCTTAGCGTTTTATGCATTTTGCATTTGTCCCTTTGAGGGAGGGATTTATGTATTCAGCATTTAGTGAGGTATTATTATTATTCAAGTTAACTGATTTCATGTTGAAATATTTACCACAAACTTACCCAGATTTCACACAAAAACCTAGATACTCACTAACTGTAGCTATGTGAGATATGCTTTTATGCTATCTCTGCTACTATTTAAAAAAACCTGATACGTATCACAAGGTAATTTTCTACATGATAAAATGCAGGTTAATGAAAGGAATTTCTCACGCTACAACTCCCTATATGAATAAAAAACATCACCATGTGTCGTGCTGATGCTTCTGCTTTTCCTCACATGAAGATCTTTTAATGATCCACAGCCCTTCTTGCCTTATCAGGTTACAGGTCATGTCCTTTGAGAAAACAGGTTTAAGAAACCGCTGAACTAAAGGTATACCCTACTTAAAAGAGTGTCTTAAAAAAAAGAAATATTTAATTATAGAAAATAATAGGCAAGTCTGAATATTCTAAAGGCACTGACAATAAAAATAGCACACAAAAGTTACCAGCAAGAACCATTCTCTCTTCACTGAGCATAACTGCATGAACAAATGATTCTAAAAAACTCAGCAATACATTGTTTCTTACTAGTAGCAGCATGAATTATATCTTATTTCCTTTGCACGTCATAAGGTACCTGTCCCCATTCAGCTTACCTTGTATGTGCTTCCTAACACTATAGAAAGTAAATGCAAGTCAGTTTTGAAAATCAGGTCTTAGTGATGCGCATTAGAAGTGCTGATGTCACTTCCCTAAAGTGACAAATATAAAGATTTTTAAGTTGAAGAGGGTAATATTAAATAATTACATTTCAAAACATGAATCTTCTCAGATGTTGACCACTTGAAATGTCTGTCTAGAAGCAGAAATGAACAAGAAAAACATCACCCCAAATCCTGTCATCATACAGAATTACTAATCTAAATTTTCCAGCATTTATTTACTATTGCCTATTCATGCCATTAATGTATTTCTAAGTACAAAAACAGACATTATAGCAATATACTTACGGCAGCTGTGTTCTTCACTGCATTTCCTACAATCACCACGACTCTTCCTTTAAAGCTCTGGAGCGTTGCAGTTGCTGGGCACTGGATGAGTTCCCCTTCTGCAGTAAATGCTGATGCAAATGGGACATTGATGCTTCCAGAAATATGGCCACGGTTAAAGCTTGGAAGGATCAGTTAAGGAAATCTGAAAGGCAGAGAAATCTGTGGTACGTGCAGAGCTGTAGGATGAAGCTGCTCTTCATCCTGGCTGTCATGATATGGCAGTGCTGGTCTTTTGTGATAGTATATTTTGACAAACCTTATTTGCTGTTTACTCATATGGAGGAAACACTAGGTGCTAAAGAACCAGTATCCACAGTATATGCAATTTTGTGGAATTTTACTTCTAATCAGCTCTAGTCTGATAATAAGAGCCAAATACCAATAACCAGCTGGAGCACCTCTTCTAGAGGAATTTTATACAAAAGGAATGAAGTACTTACAATAAGTATCAGAGCTAAACAGGGATTATTGAGAAATGTCCTCAAAACTCCTGTCAACCTTCCCAAGGCCTCTACAATTTTGATCCAAATTGAAATTCTAATGTACATGCCCTCAGATTCCCAGACAATGAGCACCATGTACATTATCTGCAGTCCGACTAACAGCAAGTGTGTAATGAGTATTGAAAAGCAAACAACTCTGAGACATAGCTAACTGTCCTTCATTTTGAGAGGATGAACATTCAATGTAAATTTTATAAGCAAATATTGAATGTGAAAGTCTCATATAAAAATTAATTTGGATTGATACTACCTAGCTTTTTATGAATTTGAGAATGCACCATGACCTTGACAAAACTCTGAATTAGTTTCCTAGAATGCCTGGAACACTCCCTTTCCCACCTATAAGCAAGAACAGCTTTGAAGAGATGAAAAAAAAGCAAAGTTCTGCAAAAATATACACAATGTCAAATATCTAGATTAGTCACTCTATTACTGTACTTGCAAAAAGCTAGTTAAATTTATAATTAAAGCTGAGAATCCTATTAAATAAAGAAGCTGCCTTAAATGGTGGCAAGATTTAATTGATTTAGCTGATTATTAGCATTAATTTCTTGTGATTTATGTAACAGTTTCAGTTTTATGATTGTCATTGTTATGGCTATATAAAAACGTTTGAAAGAACAAAAGATGATCACATATCATTCATCAACATTGTCAGATTATTTCTATTTTGAAAGGGAAAATTATATCCCTCCTTCCCTTACCTGTGCCAACGCCATTTACAACCACATAACTCTCCCTGCTACTGGACCAGGTTCTGAAATGATCATCATTTAGACGGAAAATGGCTTTGGTCAAACTTAATTGCTCACACTTACACCACTGAGTATACTTAACTGCTCAGAGAACCTTGACCTAAAATTTGTAAGAAGTTCTAATTACTAAGGACAGTTAATAAAAAGGTCAAGATTTTGTGCTACAGACTGAGAGACCATAAGTATGGAGGTATAACTTTCAAAACATGAATGTAAGGCTGCCAATATATCTGCTAACATGCTAAATGAAATAAGCTTTAGATGAATTGCTGGTCAGCCAAAACAGTGCTTTGTGTATAAAACCTTTTCATCAGAAAGTCTTCCATTACGAAGCTGTTTATTGGGAAAGAGGGTTAGTAGCCCTTGGCCTAGCAAGACGAGATTCATTACAAAAAACTCCCTTAGCTTTCAAGAGCATCCTATTATGAAATATGAAGCATGTTTGATACTTGCTGGAAGTCCTCTCATGCTTTTTTCAAATCTCTCAGAGAACAAAGCGAGAGTGAGGTTTAGCATGACAAGCATCGATTATGAAAAAACCTAAAACCAAACTTAAGAAATGATCATATTTTTGAATCATCTCACAGTGGTCTATTGCGTTTTAAAACGTGCGCCACAGTAACATACAGACTGCCTGATCATATTGTACAGTTTGTTGAAATTTTGTGACAAATACAAAGACTGTTTCCTTACTGGGAGAACGAACAGGACACTGAACACAGTATTCCCATGGTTTCCCGCAAATATTCATAACTGCTGACAGTTTAATAGTTTTCTACATACCATGTATTTTCTTCTGCAGATGACATACAAACCGATTAACTCAAGGGTAATTTTACTACCTACCAGGCTACCTTTCTAATAATGACATTTCCTACGTCCTAATACCAGATGGGTATTAGGATTTCAGTCCACCTGTTATTTAAAGGACAGGACATTTTAGACTACCATAAAATTCAACCAGACCGAAACAGCAGCAGCAGTGATTACAGTGCACTATTCAAGCTAAAGGAGCCACACTCTACAGGGTGGCTCCTCAAGAAATAGAAATAGAAAAATCTAAGATTTCATAACATGAAAGACAGTCTTATAAAAACACTTAATTCATAGAACCCAAATGATTTTGAAATAATTGAAATTTTGAATCCACTCTGCTAAAGTAGAATAGGATTAGTACAACAGTAGAATAGAGACTATTATCAAGATATTAGAAAAACTATAGAAACATTTCAGTAAACACCTTGCCTTTCACTCTGATTGCACAATGATTACTAATGATTTATATATCATTATATATGATTATAAATGATAATATATGATAAATAATGATTTATAAATAAATCCATTATTGTATACAGATAATAACCTTTCAGTGCAATGACTGTAGTACAGGTATTTTATATTACTTGACTTCCCTCTACTTTCTCCTTGGTGATTTCCAGGAAGTAGCTTAAATAATTAATAACACGATGCTGAATGCAGAAATAGAAACAGGATTTAACTCTGTAGTATCAAAACTTTCTAAGTTGTAATAATAATCTTTCATAGTTTTTACTTCCAGAGACTTCTCTTTTAAACTGGAGTCTAAGTCTCCAAGTGAAAGGGGGACTAAAACTCATAGAATCATAGAACAGTTAAGATTAGAAAAGACCTCTAAGATCACCAAGTCCAACTGTTAACCCAGCACCATCATGTTCACCATTAAACCATGTCCCAAGTGCCACATCCAGACTTTTTTGAACAGTCCAGAGATCGTAATGCCCTAGTTCCAGTGCTTAACCACCCCTTCTGTGAAGAAATTTTTCATAATGTCCAATCTAAACCTTCCTGGTGCAATTTGAGGCCATTTTCTCCTGTCCTGTTACTTGTTACCTGGGAGAAGAGACAACCCCCCAGCTCACTACAACCTCCTTTCAGGTAGTTGTAGAGAGCAATAAGGTCCCCACTTGAGCCTCCTTTTCTCCAGGCTAAACAACTCCGAATCTTTTGTTATTTTTCTTTTGAGTATTGTTTGCCCATTAAGAAATATAACTTGTGACACAGCAAGCTAAGAGTAGACTGCAAAAAAAACCAAACCATCTACATCACTTTTGTTATTATGAAATTAACAATGCTTAAAAGAAATTATACAAACCAGTAACAAGTATATTCCCAAACACTCTGTATAATGTTAAAAGTTACCTCTGATAATAACTTGTCATTGTTCCCACTTTTAGATGGATGTTGACCAAAATGCGTGCATCTGGAAAAGCAAATCTTTAAGCACTGCCCCTTCCAAAATACAAACAAACCCAGCCCTGTAACTACAGTACTTAAAACCCCCCCAAAAAACCAACAAAAAACCCACCAAACCCCAAACACTCCACATGCAAAGAACTATGTATTTGAAAAGGGACAAATGAGTAAGGGGTAGACAAGGTAGTGACCCTGATAATAATATAGCTCCAAGATACCTTTAAGGCTTTTCTGATTATCAGTGACTGTAGAACGTAAGTTAGGGCAGCTGTATGGCTGCATTACCTAACAGTAGCATGAAGACACTCAATAAGAATCAATTTTCCACTGAGGGATTGACAAAGCACATGATCTATCAACTTTTCTTTATCCCCTTCCAGTTAACTAGAAAGCCTCACACCCTTCCAAAATATTGTTCATATTAAACAGGGAAAGTCTGTTGACAACACCTGTTATGAAGAAAAATGTAGCATTAAAGCACTCATGCTACTGGTACAAAGTGATTTCACTAAACTCACAGCTTAAAATGGGAAGGCAAAAATACATTTCTCCTCTTCTCTGCAAACCAGGACTCCCTCCAAATCCCCCCGCCTTCAGTTCTTCCACTCTACCTATACCACATCCCTTTCTGTTATTTACCATTCTGACATCTTGCTGTCTGCAGACAATGAGGAAGAAATTGATGCAAGCATGATTTGTCAAGACTGGCACTCAGATTTGAAGGATACTCTTCGCTGTTACGAATGTCCACCACCAGCAGCTTTGGCTTGCTAGGCTTTGTTTTCTTTATAGGTGTTTTGGAATGACTAGGTCCTGTCAGCTCACACAAATCAATCAGATCTTCTGCTGAAATTCGTGGTGACACTTCTGCCTTCAGGTCATCCAACTTGATGGAATCCCTAGACTTTAGAAGAAGAAAATATATATTAGAGGTCAAAGAATTAGAGACATGGTATTATTTGAAACTTATTTGATAACCTCAAAGAATCTGCAATAACCTAGTTTGACAGAAACACACGTTTTCCTTGTAACTCTGAACTAGTCAAACTATCCATACAGAAAAGGTCCAGAGCAGTGCCAAATGCCTATCTGACAGCTATAGCCCTATTTTCTGTTGAAGTTGTTAAAAAACAGTCTGACAATTTGCGCAAATTATTTCAGTTTGTGATTTGTTAATGAATTATTCACTGTCACAACACCCACAAGAACATTTCTCAGCATCAGAAAGTAAGTAAATTGGCTAGAAAACACTCTCTGAAATAAGAAGCTGAAAGGTCTCATGTTTGGAGCAGAAAAGATGGGTAGCAATTGGCAACTTTGCACACAAACTGCAGGGATGTCTCTGTAAGATACAGAGCTATCTAAACACCACTTATTACCCCAGCTCAAAGACTAGGCACAAATCAGGACACCAGAAATATAAGAAATAGTCCTGTTTTAAAATCTAAAAAACGTGTCCTTAGTTTCGTGGGACAGGGAAATTTATATATATAAATTTTTATTTATATAAAAATAGATATTTTTGGGGATGGGACAGATGATACAACACACACATCTGGTAGTACTCAAGTAACTACCATGATAATACCTGAAATTATTTTTCATTAAGAGAATCTCCACTGTGAATTAACTCAGAAATATTCCTAAATGCTAGTATTTCTACACTCTATATTCTTAAAGAGTATCACAGTAGCAAATTTTCTGCTTTTGTTTTAGATTGCAGTGATCACACCAATACAAGACATTGTTTCCTTTTAGCCTATGAAAAAATAATTCAAGAGAACAGGACTAACACTGAAGAAAATGGGGGCACTACTAATTAGTATTAGTTGAATTGACTGTGGTTAGCTCTGGTTTTTATTTTGGTTTCTAAACATACTAATTAGTAATTTAACCTGAGGACTATTCCAAATTTAGAGAATATGCTAAACATAACAGAGAGACATAAACATTTTTTTGAGTTACATCTCAGAAAAGACTTCTCAGACAGTCCAGCAGTTAAGAAATACTTTTTCTGCAAAGCAGGTTATCAAAAAGCACTCAAAGTTACAAAAAAAAAAAAAAAACAACTACCCCAAAACAAACCAGTAATTATACTTCAGGGAATATATTAGCTCATCAAACTGCCTTTTCCACTGTACATGACAGTATTCAAAACAACTTACAAATTGCTAATGTCAACACATAATTTCCTCCCAAGTTCAGAATAAAAGAGGTCAAGATGCTTTATAATGAGGAAAACACACGGTTTCTGGATAATGTATTATTTGTTTCAACATAATAGCCAATACTTAAGGGAGATCTGTTTCCATAAAAATAACAGTGTAACAGATGGCACACCCAAGTCCAAGTTGCTGTCTAAAGTCACCTCCCAGTTGAATAGCTGCATTTTCCCAAGAGGAGTCCAAGGACATGAATCAAAGGGGAGAAGGAAGAAAAAAAAGTTCAAACTCTTCTCACAAATTTCAGACTTGCCAAACAAATCCAGCAGTCCATACCTAGGGGATTCACACAGACACATTTGCAAGACCCAGGAAAGGGAGCAATGTAGAATACACTGATTACATAAATACACACTTGGCTGAGACAGCTTAATTTGCCTGATGACTAAAACTGGCAGACATCACTACACTCTCCCCAGGCAACAGCTTCTCCCTCAGGAGAGTGATTGTGGAGCAGCACCAAGGAGGGAAGGGAAGCAAGGCTGCTGCAAGGAGTTCAAGCCTTAAAGCAGGGTCACATGATTACAGGTAAAAATAAACACTCAGGTAGCAAAGTCAGGCATTATAATGTGGTCCATGCCAGTGAAGCTGGCTGAGATGACCTTAATTAAGTCTTCAGGAGAAACATTTACATTGTGATGGTCTCTAATTACACAACCATTTCCTACTTTTATTTACACAATTTTTGTCTAATTGAGTAGATGGGATGAATGCCTCAGGAAAGAATGAAACTTTTAAGATGAAAGCATGAAGTCTACAGCAAAAAGCAAACCAGCCAAAATTCACCTAAGCCAATATAAAACCTTTTTCTCCTTATCTACAAGTATAAAGCCATGAAAAGTACTCTGCAAGTACACACTATCTGTCCTGCTAACGGATTTTAATAACCAGGACAAGCATTTTTTTTCCCTTTAACTGGATTGAAAATAAGGAGAAACAGATTCAACTGTGAATCATTACAACCTTCTTTGCTTTGACCTAGATTTGCATAAATGGTATATTTAGTGACACAGCGTCTCTATCAGACTTTGAACAAAGCTGAAGCTCCTCAACAGACTTGCTGGAAATAAAATTGTTGAATCAATTCTTTCTCTAACAACTGTTTTATCAGACTAATTTATTTCCTTCAAATTGCAAAGTGAAATATGTGCACACACTTATAAGATAATCTTTCCTAATTACATTTAAAACGTTGACTTTGCCTGCTCTATCTGGTAACAACCATATTTCATGTCAGACATTTTCTCACAGGAATTTTCTAATGAACTGTCGGGACACGCTAAACACAGCTAACGTGAAGCTATCAATCCTTCTACCCAGTCCTCACACCTTCTCTTAATACCACCATCCTGCTACAGTTTGGCACTGGAGTTGAGTTCAGACAGCTCTTGAGGCCATCACAGTTGCTGAGCACCCAAATCTTGTGGATTCTTCCCAGTCTTTAACATCTTTCCCACTGCTCTCCACAACAGTGTTCCAGGTATTGTCTGTCACCCTAGTGACTACTCTCTTTGCCTAGGCCTGGCCAAGTAAGAGGAGATGCACAAGATACAGGTTGACATTTTACATGGGAGGCTTCATATTTGTCCTAACTGTTGGCTTCAATTCCTTTTAGGCTTTATTATGTCATTGCAGACATTGCTTTCCAGCCGTGAAGAACCAGAAGGAAAAGTAGGTGAAGGAAGGGAGAGGACCCACTTTAAACCAAATCCTTTGAGTTACGTTAGCTGCACTCAGAGAAAGTTTATGGCACGGACAGACTCTTAGTAATTGTTTACAAATATCCAACAAACTGTGAACAGTATCCAACTGAGATTTTGATTCCAGCTAAATTAAGTGGCAGGTAGTCATATTCTCAGGACAGCTGCTTGCAATATCTCACTGAATTTATCATCTGTAATTTTTTGTTTTAAGTAATGAAAGGAGGGTAAGGATTATCCCACAACCCAAATCTATGGGGAGTACAAACAGAACAAATAAAAAAAGTAAAAAACAAAATGCTTAGATAACCACTGGGATAAGCTTTTTTTTTTTTTTAAAAAAAAGCTAAAAAGCTCATCACATATATAAGATGCTTCTTTCTTCCTTTCAGTTATCTTCCTGCTGTGATCTCTCTACTCTTTTCCAAGGCAGACATGGTACATAATTTCTAAAAATCCCCTCTTTTTTAAAAGAAAAAGGCAAATGCTCTCCTTTAAGGATAGTGCCAGAGAACAGTTAAAAGACCTGTCACATACTTGTGTAGCACGCTCCTACAGTCCTGTCAACATACTCATGGGTTTGGAGATCGTGTAAGAAATTGTATACTGACAACAACTCTGAAATTGAGAACTGCTCATAATTGTTTAAAACTTGGTGCTAATAACACCAAGGTCATGAGTTCAATCCCCTGTATGGGTCATTCACTTAAGAGTTAGACTTGATGGCCCTTGGGGGTCCCTTCCAACTCAGAATATTCCGTAATTCTGTAATACAGAGATGAACTTTCTGTCATTACTTAGAAAATGTAAGAATTATCAGAATCATGTACATTTTCACACCCATGCCCCCCCCATCCCCGTCTACTCGTGCTAAGGTACTGAGCTTGGTACGTAAGTTGCTTTGTCTGTTTTCCTGCAAAGAAGAGAAACTTATTTTAGTATATTCAAACTTAGAGCATGAATCATGCTTTAGACTATTCAGCCATAAGAAACTGTTCATTGGGGAAGATGCCTTAATCAGCAAGATGGTAATAGGAAAAAGAGTACTTAAGCTGAAGTCTGGGGTCTACTTGTCTCCCAGAAGTTTCCCTGACAATACACTAAATTCTTTAGTTTCAAAGTACTTACTCTTCTCACCCCATTAATTTTCAAATAGGTCTGGGAATTGCTAAGCCATATGTATTTACTGCTCTTAATAGGAAGAAATACGCATTAAGAATTTAATTTTTTTTTAATATTATGAATTAAAGCTGCTTAACCATTCTCAATTTAGAAGTCAAGGTTCAGAAAGATTAAAGCACTCCAGAACATGAGGCTGATCCAATCATAGCTCCTATCTCTTTTCCTATTAGCCAGTAATCTCTTACAGGCTTTTCATCGTGGCTATTAAATGAAGATATACACTTTTTCGAGAAAATAACCAACTATCTTTAGTTTTGTTGAACCTGAACTTAACAGTTCCATCTGATAAATACTGAAGCTATAAAGCAACTTTTTATCCATGGAAAGTATAGCTTTATCTGAGTAGATGCAGTGTTTCTCCTCTTTGAAGTTGGCAAAACTTACTGCAGATAATTTAATATAAAAGGACCTTCAGTTTGAAAGTCAGTATAATTAAAATCCGAGGTTCAAGTAAAATATTCTATCCAAAATACCAAAGTCCTTCATAAGGAAACATGCTTCACTGAAGATGTCACTCCATAGTTTTAGAACATAATGTTTTGCTTCTGAAAGCAGTGTATGCATGTATTTTAGATAGGGACTACAAAAACATTTTAAACCAAGCTTATAAGATAATGGTTTAAGCCTCCCAATGCCCTTCCCACCACTTTAATGACCATTATTAGTAAAGGGTCATACAAAAAGGTTTCAATGGTTTTGATGTTCAACCATGATTGTTTATAAAGGAGGAGCAGCCAAACTTCCAGATTTTAGGAAGTATTTTCTAAAATTTTTCAGCACTTGAGAGACACCGTTCTCTA